GCCAGGCCTGGTCCAAGTCGGGCCGCGAGAAGATGCGGCTGGGCGAGGCCGGCGTGACGGACCAGGTCCTGGACGCTGCCATGCAGGCCTTCATACTGGAGGTCATCGCCAAGCACGGCGAGCCCGCCCGCTACCTGTGCAACAAGGACCCTTTCACCTTGAAGTCGTCCGTCTACCTGTCCAGACTGTTTCCCAACTCCAAATTCCTCCTCATGGTCCGAGACGGCCGCGCGTCCGTCCACTCCATGATCACGAGGAAGGTGACGATCGCGGGCTTTGACCTGAACAGCTACCGCGACTGCCTCACCAAGTGGAACAAGGCCATCGAGGTGATGTACGCGCAGTGCCTGGAGGTGGGGCGCTCCCGCTGCCTGCCCGTGTACTACGAGCAGCTGGTGCTGCACCCCGAGCAGTCCATGCACGCCATCATGCAGTTCCTGGGCATCTCCTGGAGCGACGCCGTGCTGCACCACGAGGAGCTCATCGGCAAGCCCGGCGGGGTGTCTCTGTCCAAGTGAGTGTTGCTGCTTTGCAAACAGTATTTTCATTAGACAAAGCGGGGCAAGGCCAAAGCTGGGGGGCAAGGATTTGTTGCTAATGTTTGGGCGTAGTTTTCAGGGTAGCGCATCCCCATTTGTTGCACTGGCTTTGCTTTCTTAGTAAAACACAGCTTGAGTATTAGCAATATGTTGTATCCAACAGAACAGCTTGTTAGGCGAGGATTATAAGAGCAGGTGACAGTGTTTTATTCATCTGCTGTTGACAGTGTGGAAACAATTTTGGTGTCTAATTTGAAAAGAACTGCTTGCTCAGAAACATGAGCTTTTTAGTAGCTCTTTTTTTCCACCTGTCCTCAAATATCTGCTCAGAGGATTGCAGTTCTGCTGTTAATGAATCGTTTTCAGCAGTTAGCACTAGTTCTTGCCACATTTGGTGCTCATATTGCAGTATAAAAGAGCTGCCTCCTCCCATGGCGACGTGCGCCGCGGCTCCCCGGCTCTCCCGCTGCCTCCGCTCGCGTTGCAGCCGGCGCTTCTTTCACGCAGCTTCTCGTGGCCATTTCATGCTGCGTTATCTTTCTGGTTGGAGGCTTAAGTCTAAGCTTGCACTAAATGGTCGGGCGCTGCGTGGAGGCAGCGGAGCGGCCTTGGCCACGTTCCACCCGCCGGGTGTGCGCAGGGGGACGTCCTGGTGCCGCCTTTCCTGCGGGGCCGCGCAGGGCTGCGCTCCGGAGCGCTTCCCGCAGCCGGCGGCGGCAGGGCCGTTCGCTGCCGCTGTCCCGGGACAGCCCCGCGCAGGCCGCTGGCCTCGGCTCTGCTGCTGGGCGCTGCTTTGGGCCTTGCGTGGCCTTCTCGGTGGCCAGCGGCAAGACAAGGGGTCATGGTACAAACTGGAACACAGGCAGTTCCACCTCCATGTGAGGAAGAACTTCTTTGCTGTGAGGGTGCCAGAGCCCTGGCACAGGCTGCCCAGAGAGGCTGTGGAGTCTCCTTCTCTGGAGATCTTCAAACCCGCTTGGATCCCACCCCGTGCTCCCGGTGTCCCTGCTGGAGCAGGGGCTGGGCTAGTTGCTCTCCAGAGCCCTTCCAACACCAGCCATTCTGGATTCTGTGGATGCAGCAGCACTTGATCCACGTGCACCTCTTGGGCATCCTGCGGGTTGTTAACTGAGCTGAACGTTTCTCTGAGCATAACACACATGTGAAATGCAGCTGACAGCAACTGCAGTGTCTTGTGTCTATTTTATGTTTTTTTTCCAGGATAGAAAGATCGACAGACCAGGTGATCAAGCCTGTGAACCTGGAGGCGTTATCCAAATGGATCGGCCACATCCCGGGCGACGTTCTGCAGGACATGGCCCACATAGCGCCGATGCTCGCCCGGCTGGGCTACGACCCGTACGCCAACCCGCCCAACTACGGCAACCCGGACCCCTTGGTGGTCAACAACACGCACAGGGTGAGCGGCCGCGCTGGAGCAGAGACCCCCGCGGCCGCAGCGGGGCTGAACCGAGCCCAGGGAGCACGGGCGAGACGAGCCCTCTTTGGGGAGGCACTGCGTGACCGACAGTCCCGCTGAGGTTACTTTAAAACAGAGATAGTGCAGTGCCTGGGCGGCTCGAGCCCGGGGTGTTCCCTGTGCTTTGTGGTGGCATTCGTGTCTCCTCCTGTGGCCTGTCCCTCCCGGACCCGGCCCGCTCTCGGCACCGGCACCGGCCGCGGGCGCTGGGGTGTCTCCATGCACAGCTGCTGGCTCTGGAAGGCCAGCCTGGCCGCGGGAGAAGGGCTGGGGTCGGGACGGCTCCGTGCGGAGCTCCGCGCGCTCCCGCTGCGCTAGGGCAGACCCGGCACGGCTTCCCGGGCGCCCTGCGCTCCCAGGCTCTGCTCTCCGCAGCTCCTCCTCGCTCCGTGCGTGCGCAGAGCTCCTTCAGGACACGTGTTTTGGATGAACATCTTCTCCCAGAGGGCTAAGGGACTCGTGGAGTCTCTGCTCTCTTCTCTCCAGTACTTCTTGGCACAAAACTAGTGTGATGCTAAAGGCCTAAATACTGCCCTTTTCCATATTAAGGAGGGATCTGGAGAACCTGCTTTTGTCAGGCCTTTGCACTCCTGTCTTTGCTTAGAAAGCCATTACAGAGGAAACCTCCAGCTCTTTCCCCGGTGTCAGTGCGATGCAGAGCACGTGCCCATCGGGGGTCTCCGCTGGTTCAGATGCACTGGGACAATTCCCGCAGGTAGTGAGGGGACGTACGGATATCCCTGCAGCCGCTGCTCAAGAAGGGTCACTCTCGTTTTGCCTTTTCCGTAGGTTCTGAAGGGGGATTATAAAACACCAGCCAATTTGAAAGGCCACCTTCAGGTAAGAGCGTGCCGCTCCCTGGGGCTTTTTGCTGCTCCCTTGCTCCCACCATGGGCAGACGCCGTCCGGACAGCCCTCCCGCAGGGAAATCTCCCACCCCGCTCCCCTCATCAGCCCGTCCAGGCCCCTTCCCTCGTGCTCTGCACCGCTCCCTCCCTCCACGCTCTGGTTTCTTGTGTCGTATCTTGTCCCACAACATCCTGATGGTATCTGGCGTTGCTCAGAGCCTGCTTGACGTGTCCATCACCTCTCCTGGCCTGCTCCTGCTTATGGTTTCTTGCTGTGGGGCTCTGTGTTCACTCGTGAAACTCATGCACCTTCTTCTGTTGCTTTAAAACCCTTCCCACCTGCTGGCTGTCCCTTAGCTCAAGGCTTTCACCAGCCTGGGCCTGGGCCTGTTTAGGGAGGCCATAGCTTATCTAAGGCAGAAATCATAAATACTTCTTCTGGTTCTTGAACTTGTGTGACTGTTTTCAAGTGTTGAACGTATGAGACTCCCTCCTCATGTACCATGTTTGAAAACAGTTGATAACGCTCTTCTAGAAGGCAGAGCAATCCAACAGCCATTGCACTAACGCTCCCCAAAACAGGATTCCTCACTCGTGCAGAAAGTGCTGCCCCTGTGGACAGCAGTGGCAGTAGGTTGGTGGTGGGTGCACTGCTGCAAAGGCCCCGGCTTTACCCGCTCAACGTGCTGGATTCCAAGGAAAGCAGCAGCTGATCTGTGCTGAGGCCCGAGTGTCACACGGGAAGATGCACAGCCAAAACCCGGGATGAGCAAACGGGGCCGCTGGTGGAGCGAGCGCCTTGGTTCAGGCCCCGGAGCCGGGAAGGCACTCGGGATCCAGGGATCCGCCGGCTCGCTTGCAGCTGCCTGGTCTTCTCCGCCCGGAACGTTTCCCTTTCCTGCTTCTTTGCACGCTGGGGATGTTCAGAGTAAAACCTGGTAATGGAGCCTGATCCTTCTCTCCTCTTGCTTGTTCTAGGTGACTCAGAATACATCGTCCTTTCACTAAAAAATTAATGATTTCCAGGTAAGTCCTTGCATCTTAATTTGGGACTTGTGCAAACCTGCCTGCCTTGCTCCAGAGTTTGCTTGTGTTTTGTTTGCTCTAGCGTTTTGCTTGTAAAACTTCTGTTGCCTCCTGGGGCTGCTGCAGGCACGCTGCGTGCGTGCATGATCCTTCACGACCGCTTGAGGTTTTCAGGGCGGTACCATGAGATCATTTGTGAGAAGACGTTTTTCTGAGCTCCGAGAGCGGGCTTACTGCAGCAAAGTGGCAACCAGGCGTTTGGGGGAGTTACTGCTGCACCGCCCCGCCGGGAGCGCCGGGACGGAGCGTGGAAACGCGCAGCGGTGCCGAGCAGCTCCGACGGAGCCTGCCGGGATGTGCCCCGGCATCCGGAGGGGTGATCCCGCGTGTGCCGTCGGTGTGCTCGGGAAAACACGGCTGCAGCCCTGGATTTCCGCTCCACAACCTCTGTTAGGATCTCGGGTGTTTTTCTGTTTCTCTCCTCGGGTAGCATCTCTGCTAAACCGTAAATGAAATAATTTCTTTCTAAAAATGAAAAAATGAACTTTAAAGATTGCTTGCTATTTACAAACAGTATCTTGTGCTAAAGCTGAAGCCTTGGGTAAGGATGGATGGTGCATGACCAATATCCTGGAGCTGGGACTTAGATACCCATCACCTTTATTTATTTATGTATTTAACGTAGCTGCTGGTTTAGGGCCCAGCCGCGTGTTTGCTGTGTTCACTCTGTGTGCTCTTCTCAGGCTGTGTGTTTCTTGCCTTCCAGAAAGCTGCAAAGGGCCTTACATTGTCCGGCAAGGAAGAGTTTGCAGCCGCAGAAGCGGAAATCTGTTCTCCAAGCATATTGCTTGCTAATACTATTGCCAAAAGGACTGCTCCACGAGGAATGTATTTGCATTTATTTGCAAAGGCCAAACATTTTACACTTCCAGCACCAGTGCCCACCCTTTCCCGAATGCTCCGTGGTGAAGAACATCTGTGGACCCCGCTTTTCCCCCGGACTTTGCCAAGTGCCACGGGAGGGGGTTCCGTGCCGGGCTCCATCCCGTGTCCTGTGAGGCTGCTCCCCGCGCCGGGGGCTCTCGTGCCCGGTTCTTGTACGAGCCCTGCCCCGTTCGCGTGTAACTTACAGAATCTATTTAAGAATTAATATATGCTGCCCCGGTTGTGCCTGGCTCCCGTGCGGTTACGGCGGCGTTTAACGGGGCCGGGGGCGGGCGGGGAGGGAGCCCGGGGCGGCCCGGGCCCGGTCGGTCCT